GTTGCCATCAGAAAAGGTGATTTCAGTTATATAGACCCTCAGGCTGCTACCCTAATAATAAATATTTTCAGATTTCTATATTTTCAAAGAGTTGTTACACATTGTCTCCATAATTACATTTACTGCATATTTTTTATATACAGTATGGTAAAACTTCTGCAGCTTTTTCTCAACATAAACTGCAATGTGGCTTTATTGAAATACAGTATTCTGACAAATTGAACTGTTGAGAAAGAAGCATAACCAAAGCCCTAGTGAAATAAACTTATGATTTTAATGAAATGGAAGCCAGCTAAAGAATGTAAAAATTGTTGCACAGTGCTCCTAATCTCACTTTTAATGTATAATCCCATCCCGCAACAAACCTGCACCATGTTATTATAGATCCATTTGCAAATGGAGCGAAGAACTTAGTAAATAATATTTAACAGGAAAACCACTGCAGAGAAATAATTTTGCATTCATTTACATTTTGTATCAGGCCAAAGTCTAATGGGAGTTTGGATGCAGTGATGCGTTTGCATTATTTCATAATGTGCTGCCTCTGTTTAAGTCATGACTGCGTGCTGTTTAAATATTATGGCAGAGTACAAAATGATGCATAAACCTGAATTTACAATCCATCAGAGGGTGGAGGAACTCAGTATATCCCAGAGATGTCTTTCTGATCCTAAGAATAGCTCTCACATCTATTTATAGCAGCGCGGAGCAGCAGCCGCTGTTGGCAAAAGCCCACTGGGAGAGGAAGCTATAAATAAAACTTGCTGTGCTGGATTTCCTCTTAAACTAATTAGCTGATTTAAGGCTCGGCTATGCTCTGCACACAGCACTGAAAAGTAAAAGTTAGCAGGTGTCTTGAGTCCAGTTAATAGGAAACTATCCATCCTTCATTTGCTAATTAATAGTTGTTTGCTGATGTCATTAAAATATGTTTCCATTCTTTTAGTTATTTTTCATGAAATGCATACAGTTTCACAGGGTGACCTGAAATAATTAGTAGCAGGAGATGCGTTTTCTAGCTTGTATGTAGGGCCATTTTAAGGGGTAATGCAAGAGGTGGCATAAGCTATTATCAGTCTTTTTCAGTATGGGAGAGTGAAAGAACCATTATGGTTGCAGTATAAGCACAGTTCTTACACTTTGAGGCTGATTTACTAAAGGATTTGAGAATGCTGACACAATAAATTGTAAGAATATTTACTTCACAATTATCCAATCCTGCGCAGATGGAATAAGTAATCAGGGTTTTTTTCAGACCATTGGATAATTGAAGAGAATCTTCACACATTTTATTGTGTGAACATTTTCAAGTCTCTTGCCTTTTTGACTCTTCAAGCCATTGCTCAAGGTGGGCTTCTGCCAATCCAAGCATCACAGTTCAAGCTACACTTTGTTACAATATGCCTGAACTGTCTTTGCCTTCAAACCAGCATCAAGTCTCTTCAGCCAGAAATAAATGGTCAGTCTAATATGCCTGGTAATTGTACATACATTTGTTATAGATAAATGATGGTATGTGAAATCATTGTCTGTTTTTTCCATCTCTTATTCCCCCAGTCACTAAGTTTTATTCTACTTTTGCAGGAAAAGGATTCTGCTGCAATTGCCATGTCATAACAATAATGATATTCTCTCTTGTAAAGGTCATGGTAGATGAATTGAGCTAAAAATTCAGGCGTAAAAAAACACTTCACGAAGTCCATTTGAAATATCTGGATCGTGACTCAACCAGCAGCCACTTTCCAACACTGAACCATCTGTGTGTGTTTCAGACACATTGCTTGATTTGCTTAAACTCTGCCCCATATTGGCTCTTACATGAACAAAACCGCTTACAAGTTTGCCAAACACAGCACCTTTTAGAGTCCAAAATATGACTGCCACCAAAAATACAGCATTTGGAATGTATGCTAATTAGTCACAGCTTTGTCTTGGCGGCCGGGAGCGGGGGGCTCCCAGAGCGCCCGGGAGATTTTTTAAATTATTTTAAAATTCTTTTTTTTACAGCAGCAGAGCTGTAGGAAAAAAAAATTTAGGAAAACTTACCAGTTAACTAGAAAGAGTAGCCAGAATAAAGTGACTGATTTCAAAGATGGAGAATGAGCTGCCTGAGATGTATTGACTTGCAATGAAGTAATCATGAGATGGTTATTTGGCATAGCAAGTTCCCCTATGCCCTGCTGGGTCTGAGCATAAATCTGCTGGCAGAGCGCAATCAGCAAATGCAGCCCCACCAGCTTCTTCCTGTTCACAACAGCTGCATTCTTAGAATCTTTACACATAGATACAGATCCACTGCCAGAATAAGGCACAAAAAGCTGGTGGGGATGTAATTACTCGATACAGAATGACTGCTCATAGAATTGTTTGAACTGACCCAGCGGGGAGCTATGTTAGGTAATTGTACAGACACGATTAGACCCTATTTAGTGACAAGTCAATCCAGTATAATAAAAAAACACAATCAAAAATGCAGTTAGGTAGGTAATATATCATACGTTTGTGATTCTAAAGCATAGATTGGCTACATTGATTATTAAAGGAATATTGAAAGCGAAGACAAAAGTTATGCTTTCTTGAATGAATGTTCTAAAGTTTTGAGCATATTGCAAAGAAAGTTATCATGTTGATAATATAGAAATATATTTGGCACATGGTTTCTAGTGTTAGTTGTTATTATAGGTTATAAAATACTAAACAAGTCAGCTTGTAGCAATATACACTGAGTGGCCAGATTATTATGACCACCCCATCAGTACTTCGTTGGGCCACAAGATGACTCCACGAGATGACTTTGTTGGGCCGCCTCGTGACTCCACGAGATGTTGAAAGGTGATGCGAGGAATCTGACATTGCACTGTTGCCCTTCTGTTGTCTTGTACCAGTCTTGCCACTCTCCGTTCTGCTCTAACATTGACTAGTCGCTGACGGCCACAATTCGCACGTTCAGACCCAGATTTTTGGCTGACAGCCCAGTCTTTAAACACTTTAACAAAAGCTGCTCTTGAACATTTAATGAATTCTGCTGTTTTGCTGATACTCGCTCCATGGCTCCGAGCGCCAACAATCATCCCACGTTCAAAGGCTGTTAAATCGCGTTGTTTACCCATATCTTCAGAAAAAATCACTTCTACTGTCGTGGTAAACAACCTGCTTCCCTATTTATAATGGTCTGGCCCTCTAGCAACTTCAGCGCGAAATTATAGCTAATTATAGCTAATTTGCCTACAAACGTCAGGTGGTCATAATAATCTGGCCACTCAGTGTATGTCCCAACTTTTCAAAGTAAAAAGGTACACATTGAGTCCTCCCCCTAATCCAAACAACTCTTTTACCAAGATAACATTTTCCAGATCCAAAAACTAAATCAATTCTGTGAACATCATGATTTAGTATGTATGCAGCCATACAGAATATGATTGGGGAGCCTTAGCGATGGCCAAGTCAACATAAGGCATCTTGTTTGTGTTATGTATGGGTTGCTACTTGAGAAAAGCGAGCATACGTCTTCACTGGTGCTTTACTGAATTTACCTTTGGTGGTTCAGACTGGGCTTTTATACCTTGAAAGTGTTTTTAATAGAAAAGGAAATAAAATACATAAATAAATTCTCTATTGAGTTCATACACATGACACCTATTTTTCACCTATACTCAGATTTTGTGTTTTTTTGTACAACAGCTTTTCTTCACAATATGTAGTGCATACTTACATCATGTGCTGTCCAACACAGTCCACTGATACCCAATATCTACCCGATTATCCTCTTAGACAGCATTAGATTTCCTGCATAGCTTTTGATGTTTTTTTGAGAATTCTAATGCATGCTCACAACACCAGACATCACCTTGAGGCCCCTTAAAGTGTAACAGACTATCGGATAAAGCGATACTACAGGACTTTTTGCCATGACCATTGCGAAATACAAGTGACGTGGCTAGAGTTAGCATTGCAATAGTCTGCGTGATGGCTGGTGTACATTGCACCATGATAACATATTGTGTGCTAGATCATTTCAGCTTACTGCACTATTTAAATGCAGTTTCTATATATTAGATTAAAGAGCCATACTTAAAGTGACATTAAACCCTCAGATTTTTTAACATAAACCAATACTGTAATGTGTACCTTACTGTAATCCATGGTAGTTTCCCTTCTCTTTGCTGCTCTTCCTTTTAAATCCTCATGTCTTCTCATGCTGGGGGAGAACTTCCCTTTGCAGCTGAGTGCCTCTTCCTCTAGTGCTGGCTCAGGTTGCAAACCTACACACAGACACCATGTATCCATTTCAGAGACAAGGCAGTCTGCTGCAAAACAGAAGTTCTGCCCAGCATGAGAACAGATACAGATTTAAAAGGAAGAGCAGCAAAGAGAAGGGAAACAACCATGGATTACAGTAAGGCACACATTACAGTATTGTTTTATGTTAAAAAATCTGAGGGTTTAATGTCACTTTAAGGTAAGACTTTTAGACACCTGGACTATTTAAATTTACCATCTAAACTTTGTAACATATCAATCAATTTCAGTCTCACCTTTTGTCCTGCCCTCCTACTCCCTGATCCTTTCTTTTGCAGTGGACCCTTTCATCACATTAAAGGGCCAAGTACTAGATTTGGAAAGCTGAATGGGACAGGGCTAAGCTAAGTTTTTATAGGAAAAGTCAAGATTTACATATAATTCAGCTACATATATCTCTGGATCTACTGAACAAGTCGTTTTAACTTTTCATTAAAGGTGACCATTGCTTATGCCTTTTTTTTTTAAATTAATATTATATGTTTAGCATGAATTGCCAAAGTACAGGTTTGCATTACCTATGTAAATGTGCCACATTCATGGTTACTGCTCCTGCTAATTGGTTCATGGTCATATTTAACATGCGGAGTTGTTCAGGAGTGTAATATACCTAATGCCTGTGCTATAATCATGTTTTTAAAAGATATATTTGACAACCTCTATGAAAACAAAAAATTAATGCATAGACTTTGTACTGTATTGACCATTAGTCTTTTGTTTATTTTTTGTTCTAAAAGATTGACCATGAGAGCAATGGAGGTCTTATTCAGAAGTTGCCATCCATCCTGGAAGATGATGAATTTGAAGACGATGAGAAATGTCCCTTACCAGTGAGTCCAAGGGGTGTCAGTCCTGTAGATTCCTCTTTGAAATTGCCTAAAGCCTACAGTTCTCCGATGCTATCTCCATTGACACCGCGGTCTTTCAAAACACCAACCAAGAGGGTAGACAAGAACTTTGGAGATCTCCTCAATATGGGGGAGAAAGGAAAGTTCCCAGCAGGTGATGGAGGAAGACCTTGCAAACTACAGCTTCCTGCATTCAGTATCAGTGTTCCACCAGTGCTTAGCCCCAGGTAAGTGAAGTCAAGCTGAGACAAGCTATCATAGCAGGGATAGGCAACTAGTTGATCCTAGTCTTTAAATATTCCTTCAATAATCATTGTAGCAAGGTATTTACTGTATGGTACCTTGTAGATCTCAGAGCCTCTGTGATTTTAAAAAGTAGAAAAATGTTGGGGCACAAAAAGTGCCACAAGGTCACATATGGCTCCCAGGGCTCTATTTTCTTTAATGGAAATGGTTAGTGCTTATTATGTAGTATACAGGCTGCTAGGAATGCTACAGTGCCTAATTTCTGTGGTTTTATGTTGGGTAAAGTTTACATGTATATACAGTATATCTCTCCTCCCTGCTGTCACTGACTCTTGCTTATTATCTTCTGATCTTTACCTCTCTTCTGGGTAGTACATGCTAATAAACATCCCTTTCTTCACTTATAGCAAAGGACAGCCAACTGCTTGCTGAAGGATTGCTGTTTTCTGGGTCAGATAGGGGGGATGCTTGGGATGTGAAGAGGTCTGCCAATATCACTACAAATGTAAATGTGACATCAAAATTATGTCAATCGCAGTGGCACAGATCACTATGCACAAGCATCCACCTCAAATTAAGCAGCCCAGTCTTACATAAACTCTGATTCATCAGTTTAATACCTCCATCGCTTATTATAACATAAAATGATGTGCAATCATTAGAGGATGTTGTCACATTGCGAAGATGTGTCCTTTTATTTATGACAAACTCTGAATATCAGCAGTACAAGAAACACTGAAATCACAACCACCTGCTAATGCACTGAAAGAATACACATCCATTGAAGCTGCCAATAAATTGTTAATCTTTTGGCATCTGTGGAGAAAAAAAGAAAATGATTGTTAGGAGACCAGCGTGAGGTCGTAAAAAGATTGTTTCCTTCCTTGTACTATACAGAAGATGTAGAAATGTAATCCATGAAAATATTGCCACCGCTGGAGGAAAAGAGCAGGCAATACTTTAAAAGAATGGAACAATGAGTTTTGTGCTTCTGTGTATACAGCAATTTCTGCTATAGACAATTGTTGTACAACATCACACATGTGCTTGCAGACCAATATTGTTACAATAAACTATGCTATTCAAATTTCAAAAGCATTCAAAAGCCTTAAGATTACACTGAATTAGAATACAACGAAACATAAGTGCTGACGTGTACAATTGGACAATTTCTGGTGATTTGAGTATATTTAATATGAATTTGTTTTATTTCAGATAGAACAGAGAAAGAATAAAACCCATGTCAGCACAACCCCCCCTCCAGTATTCACAACAGGACGTGAGAGAAAAACTCTCCAAACTTTGAGTTTTAACTTTTCCCTATCAGTACCAGTAATAATGATCACTAGGAAAAATGCAGAGGATGAATATCACCAGTTGGGACAAAGCAATAAATAACTGACAGGAGTTTTTGTAACCAAATATTTATTGGGTTTTCAAGGTATAAATAATTAGACATTTTACATGGTATTTTCCGGCCGCAGTAGGCCACATAAGCCACATGATGTGTTCGATAACATGCCAATGCAAACACAATGCATTATTATTAATGTAAGATAAGTCAAAAGGAAAGAGTAGTAAAGAAAGATGATCAGGTAGGTAGTCCATCGGTCGGTCAGCTTCGATTTTAGTTTGGCTCTATTCCGCAGGTCCTCGGGTCCCGACTAGGGGTCACCTACTTATTTCCCCTCGACTCTATTGACCATATCACAGGCGTCTAAGGGTGTTTACATCCAGATCAGGGTGGTTATGTAGGAGCCAAGGTTCCCAGATTGTTAGAAATCTGGTATGTGTATCAGTTAGGATACACGATAACCGTTCATTTAATAGTACATTATCCAATCTTTGTGTAAATTCACGGTACGGGATAAATCGTTTTTTCCAATTTCCTGCTAAGGTTAATTTGGCAGCAATGGATATTTGGTGTGCCAGGGCACCCCGGGATTTATTCAATCCGGGCACTGAAGTATCTAGTAGAGCCTGTGTTGGGTCTTTAGAGATATTCTTAGCAAACAGAGTCGAGAGTAAACAAAATATTCTGGTCCAAAAATGAGCCGCGAAGGGACAAGACCACCAGGTATGTAACATGTCCCCTGGGGTCAAACATCCACGGAAGCATTTAGTAGATGATGACGGGAACATTCTAGGCAAACGAGTGGGGACCAGATACCAACAAAACAATACTTTATAGGCAACCTCAGAGTTCGTGACATTACTGGAACATTTAGAAATATTTCTCCACACCCCCTTCCAGTTTTCATCAGACCAGTTCAGACCTAGGTCTGCGGACCATTTAGTAGGATAAGAATGGAGGCTAGTACGAGTTAAGAAATTCAGTTGCGAATATAGAATTGACACCTGTTTGGGCCCTCCTGGTGAATAGAGGCAGATATGCTCGAAGCAGGTAAGCGGGGCATTTAAGTGTCTACGTGCCTGCATAGAGGATACCCAGTTTTGTAGTTGAACAAACCTGAACATTTCTGCATCAGGAATCTTTTTATGTGCTTTAAGATAAGAACAGGTGGGTGAGTTAGAGGAGCGGTAAAAATCATATAATCTAGTGAAGCCATTGTTGGTCCACCACTTAAATATTTTAGGGTTAGAGTATGCTGGTATAAATAGTGGTTGTGGAAGTAAGGGGAGAAGGGGCAAAGAAGGCGATATCAGATGTGATGAGTATTTCAGTGAGTTCCACACTTTCAAGGCATGTTTCAACAGAGGACTGAGAGAGTGGGGTCTATCCACGGGCGGTAACCTGGGGAGTGCTTGTAGAGGAATTGGGGAGCAGTTGGGGATTTCCAACATGGTCCACAGAGGGACATTAGTTGCTTGGTGGATAGTAATTAGGGGCAACACGGGCGGTAACCAGGGGAGTGCTTGTAGAGGAATTGGGGAGCAGTTGGGGATTTCCAACATGGTCCACAGAGGGACATTAGTTGCTCGGTGGATAGTAATTAGGGGCAACAATTGGGATGCTTGATAGTAAAGAAGGATTTTCGGTAGGCCTATGCCCCCTTCTTGTTTGTGTTTATACAGTGTGGACCTTGGAACCCTGGGGCGCCATATAAAGGTTAAAATGTGCCTCTGGAAAGCTCGTAAGATGAAAGGTGGGACTGCTATTGGTAACACTCTGACAGGAGTTTTAACTCTTCCCTACTCTATCCAAGCAAAAAAATGTGCCTTTAGATATGCTTTAAGCAGAGATGAACAAGTATGCTATTAGGAAGTTGCATGACTTACACTGTCCAGTGGATGTTCCTGCATTGTGTAAAATAAATCTACCAAGGGTTTGACTGTTAAACATGTGTGAGAATCTTTTTTGAGGATAGTGCTGACATGCTGCAACTGCAGCTTTGCAGACTTTCTATGAATATATATCCTGACTACTATATGATCACTGGATGATTATATATTACAGTGTATGAACACAAGATGTATATATTTGTTAACCTTTTAAGGGAGCACATTGTCTATGTATAGTTGTATTTAAGGTATATTATGATTGAGGGTTAGTTCTTAAGAGTGCAGTGCATTCTGGTATATAGTATCCATAGATATATTTTCCCTATTGACATACAATTCTGAGTTTTTAGGGTTCTATCTGAAGTATAAAAAGCCTAAGCCTTCATCTATCAATATGGTACAGATCCTTTTAGACACGTGCTAACATAGGCTCCATCCATTGCTCTCACCTACTGCCAGCTCTCTTCTCACACCCAGCACTGCTTTGTCTATTCCTGTTGTTCATCTAGGGCACAGATTGTCAGTTACAGCTATTGCTGTACTTGCTACATCAACAGGGCAACCAAGACCACCATATCTGTCCTGTGGTCTCTCTGTGACTCCATGGCCACTGCAATAGGTGTAATCCCACATCAGGGAACAGATTGTCATTTTCTCTGCATGCTGATCATCTCTCTGTCACCACTAAGAGGAAGGCCAGAGGAGTCTCCATTGAGGGGACTTCCCTTCAATCCCTATCCAAATGACCCCCATCACAGGAAGTAAAACACTACCTGTGATTAAGGCAGTTAACTTGACAGTGTATTTTGTGTGTGTGTGTGTGTGTGTGTATGTGTATACACAGTGTATATATATATATATATATAGATATATCTATATATATAGATATATCTATATATATCTATATATTACTGTAATATATCAGTTATGGGATTATGTGCATGTTCATTAACTGGTTAAAGCTGAACTCCCTGCATGGCACTCCATGATGTCAGTGTGTGTGACCACTGGCCAGAGAGCTGAAGACTAGAGTCTGCAGGGGACCAGTCACACAGCATTAATAAAACCTGCAGAAAGAGGAATAAGGTAAGTATTGCACCTTAATTATCTATCCCTAAACTTAACAAGCATTTAACCATTGTAGTGTGTGTGGGTAACTTCCTGCCAGGAGTGAGGCTTTAATTTAGGCTGAAAGGGTTAAAAATATCTTATTGATTCATTCATAATACACATTACACATTACTGTCCAATCAGGCATTATTTTAACAAGAGGGGAATTTATCAAAACTGGAGCATATAAAAACTGGAGCAGCTGTGCATGGCAACCAATCAGCTTCTCTCTTTCATTTTCAAATCTTAACTGAACAGACTGAAGAGAGAAACTGATTGGTTGCCATGGGCAACTGCTCCAGGATTTGTTTGCTCTAGTTTTGGTGAATTTCCCCCACACTATTTCACTATGTCAATAGAGGAGCATAAGTAAAATAAGACAAACTGTAAGCTGTTTGTGGAGTAAAGTGGTGAAAATGAGGGAGAAGATGAAGTAGGGGGAAAGGAAGTAGATTGTAGACATGGTGGATGTGAAGGAGGCAGATTGAAAGCTGATCACAGAGAGAAGTGGAGGAGAGGAGAAAAGGCAGATATCTTTGGAACACGAGAAGAGAAGGCAGTGTGAGAGCTGATTGTAGACTTGGGAGGGATGAGAGAGTAGGTAAACTATGAGCTGTCCTAGAACCTG